ATCTGAAAAAAAGATATGTTATGGAGAAAAATAAACTAAACAAGATTTGCCTGAGCATTACATCCGAATTCCTTACCAAATTTGAAGTAAAAATAAAATACGGAAAACAAATACTAATAATAAAAATCAATAAAAATAAAAAGAGAATTAAATTTAGTGAGTGCGCGAGCATGTTTTCGACACCGCCATCTTTGGCGATTTTTCATTTTCTTTTGGCACAGCTAAATGCCCTGAAAATTTACAGATGTGTACTTCACATAATACAAAACCCACTAAAAAAGTTTCAAAAAATAATAAAATTGTTTAGACCCCAAACTAAAGTGAAAACAAAAAGTAAAAAGTGATACGTAAGCGAGCACGTTTTGACACCGCCATCTTTGGCGATTTTTTATTCTTATTTGGCTTAGCCAAATGACTTGTAATTTTACAGGCATGTACCTCACGTCATAGAGAACTCACAAAACAAAATTCACAAAAACAATATTAGTTTTAGTCCCCGAAATAATTTTTGGCGGGGGCCGAACTCCGTCGGGTTCGGACCCCGTACGGGACCCCGAACGCCCGTACGTACGGAGGTCGGCCCGGGGACCTCCGTACGTACGGGCTGGTGACCCTGTATATATATATATATATATATATATATATATATATATATGACGAAACAGTTTGTCACAGCCCCTCGTTGTTGTCCTCTTCTCCCTCTTTGCCTACGGTGGGCAGTTTTGTTTGACGATATATATTGTCATATTTTTTCGATAGTCTTATATATATATATATATATATATATATATATATATATTTCTCATCATGGCAGAAAGGGTGAACAACATAATCGCAAATTTTGGGAGGTGCACATGGATGGGATCCGTACTTGATAGGTTGTCTTGGTCCCAACATCATCCTCGAGTCTGTGTGTGGCCGCAGAGTGAATTCGGAACACAGCCTCATGCTCGTCAATGAACATTCCGAAATTGCTGATGAACGTTCCAGTGATAATTCGAATGAAAATTCCGTTGAACCAAATGAACGTGCATTCCAAAATTCCGATGAGAATTAAAAAAAAATCCAATAATCATCACAACCACATTCCAAGGAGAAAAGAAAAACAAGATAAGAACTTAAGAAGTCATAAAAAAACATGAACATGAACATGGTTTAAGGAATGAATAAAAAAAGAAGAAGAAAAGCACGAAATAAGAATAAACTTCAATAAAGATAAAATTCCGAAGATCACTTATTTTGAATTTAGTAATTTTAAATTGACTAAAATTTGCGATGATCTTTGGGAAAATTGTTGAAAGTGAAATGAACCAAGTTCTCATCAAGTTTCACCTCGCATACATACAATGAACATTCACCCGAGAGTTCACACGTCAAGTCGAAGATGAGATACAATCAATGCATGTGGAAGCCGTCACCGAAGAAGTGTTTTGACATTGACTCAGTTCATATTCATTCATTTTTGCTCTCACTTGCAGGATTATCTATCAGGTTTATCTCAGCCATTGATTTATCCGGATGGTTATCTCAACCATTGATTTATCCGGATGGTCGACTCCATCAATGGGGATGCATGTTGTCCCCCGCCCCGACCATTATTGTTGTCTTCTTTTTTTTCTTTTCTTTTCTTTTCTTTTCTTCTTTTTCTTCTTCTTTTTTTTTTTTTCAAGTCCAGGGTGTTGTAGATGTTGGAGGCTAGAAATCTGGGTGTTACCCTCAGTACTCAGCCATTGATTTACCCTGATGGTCGACTCTATAGGGTGCTAGCCCATAGTTATCCCGAGTGCCTCCTGAGTGCCTCCCTACCATCTCTCAATATTTCCTGGCGCTCCCCCCCCCCCCCCCCCCCCYCTCCCCCCTTCTCTCTATCCTACCTCTTCTGGAGGATATCACTCTACTTTGGAGCAATCTTGACCAGACAGCGATCGTGGGCACCAGCGCTAATTGGAAACCCTGTTCAGCCCCGGTCGAGGCACTAACACATTCGGGTAATTAGCTCAGTTGGTAGAGTGCCTCGTTTACACCGAGAGAGCCAGCGGTTCAAGTCCGTTATTACCCAGATGGGAAAATAGCTTAGTTGGTTAGAGTGCTGGTCTGTCATGCCAGAAGTCACGGGTTCAAATCTCGTTTTTCCCGGGAGGTATGGCTGAGTGGCTGAAGGCATTGGTTTGCTAAATCAACATACAACAAGATTGTATCATGCGTTCAAATCCCATTTCCTCCGTTCCGTCGGGGGAGTAGTTCAAGTGGTAGAACACATGTTTTGCAAGTATGAAGTTATCGTTCAAGTCCGATTGTCTCCAATTTCCCCGTGAGCACAAATCCTCGTTGCACATGTACCTCGGGAGTTGGGCATGAGTCTATTTATTCTACCAGATGAGTCCCGATGGATGGCCCCCCGCTTATTCCCCCCCCTACGTCGCACACATGTTTTTCAGGCCCATTCTGTAATGGACTATATGGATCATCATAGTTGTAGCATACAACCATGTCAATCGGGATTTCCTAAACATGTGCCATCGCTCAGCTTCGCTCCAGTTCCCAGTCCTCAATGGCCCCCCTGGGCCATTCCTGTCCTCAACTGACCCCTGCTTTCCAGTGTCAGACCTACCCCTGATGCAGTCCACCCTGCCACCCGTGCGGCAGGGGCCCACAACCTGCCCTATCCCATCCATCGCACTCGCCCTAATCCACTCAATACAGGTGCAGACCCCGCAATCCCACCCACTTCCTCGCGATTCAGAGTAGACCACATCTCTCTATTCCGCACATACTCCCTCTAAGGACAACACTGCCCTCCATGATGAGGCCTCTGTGGGGTGATGCTTCCCCCTAGCCTCATCTACATCATCGGGGAGAGCTCTGCTATTAAACAGCTATATTCACATATCGTGTGCTAATCGGTTATTTTGAATTATCCACAATGCACATCACTGCATACGCGAGTTCTCTCAGGTAGCAGACAATCCTACCCCTGATGCAATCCACCCTGCCACCTGCACGGCAGGGGTCCACAACCTGCCCTATCCCATCCATCATACTTACACTAATCCACTCAATTCAGGTGCAGACCCCACAATCCCACCCACCTCCTCACAATCCAGACTAGACCACATCTCTCCATCCTGCACCTACTCCCTCTAAGGACAACACCGCCCTTCATTATGAGGCCTTCATGATGATGCCTTCATGATGAGGCCTTCATGACGATGCCTTCATGATGAGGCCTGCAATCCCACCCACCTCCTCACAATTCAGAGTAGACCACATCTCTCTGTTCTGCACCTACTCCCTCCAAGGACGACACCACCCTCCATGATGAGGCCTCTGTGGAGTGATGCTTCCCACTAACCCTTTTGTCCCTAATCCCAGGCCCTGGTGCCGCAGAGCGCTAAGCCACCAGCTACATGACCCTACCACTCTTCTGTGTTCCTATTGTTTGCATCCCTACTGCTTCAAACCTCTGTCATAAGGACGGGTATCGAACGCTAAATCTTATCAGCACTCAGCTCCACCCACCGAACTACACCGTCAATTGATCTATATGTGTGCTATGCCGGGCTTGCCGAAGGGACAACTGTGCAATCATTAGCTCAGTGAGTAGAGCACCGGTTGGAAATGCGGGTTGTGGTTTGAGGTTGTGGCCTCAAAACCCAACAGCTTTACGCATGTACACCAGCAGGCGTTGACCAACGCATGGCTGTTCGCACACCCCCCTTGGATTGTTGGTACATAGATATAGGCCTCTTCGTAGCTCTGAAGAAGATCATCCGAACTTGTCGACCTTGTCCCTCCGCTCGTCCATAACACCAGGCTCTTCTAAATTGATGCAGCCAAAAATGTTTTCCGCATCTGTGACCAACGGAATACTCCCCCTGACCGGCTCCATAGACAGTATGCTGCTGCATATTTGGTATATTTATTCTTTTTCACTCCACTGTACCCTATTCTCAGTGTATTCTATTCTCTTTCCAATGATTTTAAATCATTGAAAATAGAACAGAGTACAGTGGAGTTAAAAAAAAAATATTACCGAAAAAAACATATTGCAAATTTTAGTAAATTGAAAATGGTGCACAGGATTATGTTGGTGTTCTAAGAATCAACGATGGTATAAACACATTGATGAGATTTTCTCCCGGAATTGATGATGGTGATGATGATGGTGTTGGTAGTTGTGGAAGAAGAAGAAGAAGAAGAAGAAGAAGAAGAAGAAGAAGAAGAAGAAGAAGAAGAAGAAGAAGAAGAAGAAGAAGAAGAAGAAGGAGGAGGAGGAGGAGGAGGAGGAGG